ACCACAGTTCAAAAGCATCAATTCTTTGGTGCTCAGCTTTCTTTACAGTCCAACTCTCACATCCATACATGACTACTGGAAAAACCATAGCCTTGACTATACGGACCTTTGTTGGCAAAGTGACCATTCTTAGGGCTAAACTAAAACCTTAAATCCTGCTTAAAATCTGAATGCTGGCTAGCCATGTGCTACTGTCCCCTGGCTCCAGAAACCTTTCACCTTAGCACTGACTGGCTGGTCCCCTCTGGGGATCTATTTCCCACTTGAAGAGAATGTGTGCCATTGTCAAAAATGAATAAATGTCCTAGAATATATTTCTTAGTTTTAATTACAAAAATAAGGGATGTCCTTGGTAGTCCAGTGGTTAAGATTCCAAGCTTCCAATGCAGGGGACATGAGTTTGATCCCTGGTCAGGGAACTAAGATCTGGCAGGCTGCTGGATGCAGCCAAAAATAATAATACTGTAGATAAGTCAAATAACAGAAAAATGTGTTTAAAATGTGAAACTTGGGAGTTCCCTGGTGGTCTACTGGTTAGGATTCTAGGCTTTCACTACCATGGCCAGGGATCAATCCCTGGTCAGGGAACTGAGATCTCGCAAGCCAAGGTGTATAGCCAAAAAAGTACAAAAAAAAAAAAAAAGGGAAATTGATCATCACAGTGCTCCCATACCTATTTATTGTCTAGAAGTAATACTTTTCTATAAAAGTAGTAATTTCTAGGTATAAACCTTCTGTACCCTGTTTCTGTGACTATACATACATATATATATATATAATATATATTTATAAATATATATTACATATATGTGGGTAGCCATTCCTTTCCCCAGGGGCTCTTCCTAACCCAGGGATTGAACCTGGATCTCCTGCATTGCAGCCAGATTCTTTACCATCTGAGACACCAAGGAAGCCCATTATATAATACAAATATATATAAATAATATATGTATATATTTTTAAAAGGAGAAGGGGGCAGCAGAGGATGAGATGCTTAGATAGCATCACCAACTCAATGGACATGAATTTGAGCAAACCCTGGGAGATAGTGAAGGACAAAGGAGCCTGGTATGCTGCATTCCATGGGGTTGCAAAGAATAGGATACAACTTAGCAAAAAACAACAACAACAATTAATATATATGCACACAGAGTACCATATTGTTTGAAACTTTTTATCTTCATTTAATATACCAAGGACATTTTTTCATATCATGTCATTTAAGTCTAACTCATTCTTTTTATTTCATTTTTTAAAATATTTATTTATTTGGCTGTGCTGGGTCTTAGTTGTAGCACACAGGGTCTTCCATCTTCCTTGCAGCATGCAGGATCTTTAGTTGTGGCATGTGGGATCTAGTTCCCCAACCAGGGATCAAGTCCAGGCCCTCTCCAGTGGGAGCAGGGAGTCTTAGACACTAGACCACCGGCAAGTCCCTAACTCATTCCTTGTAAAAGCTGGATAGTATTCCTTAATATGATTAAACCCAATTTATCTAACCTTCCTCTATTGATGAATACTTAGGTTTTCCCCAATTTTGTGGCAAATTTTATGACAAACTACACAAAATATGGTGACAACTGTACTAGAACCCAGGCTTCCCTGATAGGCTCAGATGGTAAAGAATCTGCCTTCAATGCAGGAGACCTGGGTTCAATCCCTGGGTTTGGAAGATCCCCTGGAGGAGGGCATGGCAACGCACTCCAGTATTCTTATCTGGAGAATCCCTGTGGACAGAGGAACCTAGTGGGCTATAGTCCATAGGGTCACAAAGAGTTGGACACAACTGAGCAATTAAGTACATCACTTACTAGAACCCACATCTTTATACATGTATTTGTGTGCCTGTGTTTATTTCAAAAGGACTTAGCGTTGCTCAGAACAAATGCAGTGCCTCAGAATGAAAGCCAAGCCTTCCTCCACACATCACCCTCAGAGTCAGGATGAAGAGAGTCTGACCAGCGTGAGAGATGAGGCTCAGTGTGAGATTAGGCAGCGGCATTGAGGGTATTAAGTGCAATGCTTAACAGTCTAATTTTTAAGCAAATACACATTAGGCTTCCCGAAGAATACAAAGATGGATGTGATGCTGACCCTGACCTCAAAGGCTCACTTTGGAGTTTGTAACCTTCAGCAGGCTCGAGCCTCCTCTTGAACTCCTCATCCTGAGGCTAGAGCCATCTCCCTATTCTCCAGAGGAGAATGACAAAGGAGGCCAGGTTCCCCAGCCAGCTCAGCCCTCTTCCCCGGGTCCAGGTCTGCTTTAGGTTAGGGGGGATTGGGCTGGAGAGGCATCCCTTAGTGCAATCCCCCCTCTCCTTCCTGGCTTCAGTTCAGTTCAATCTCTCAGTCATGTCTGACTCTTTGCAACCCCATGGACTGCAACACGCCAGACTTCCCTGTCCATCACCAACTCTCGGAGCTTGCTCAAACTCATGTCCATTGAGTCAGTGATGCCATCCAACCATCTCATCCTCTGTCGTCCCCTTCTCCTCCCGCCTTCAATCTTTCCCAGCATCAGGATCTTTTCCAATGAGTTACTTCTCATCAGATGGCCAAAGTATTGGAGTTTCAGCTTCAGCATCAGTCCTTCCAATGAATATTGAGGACTGATTTCCTTTAGGATGGACTGGTTGGATCTCCTTGCAGTCCAAGGGACTCTCAAGAGTCTTCTCCCAACACCACAGTTCAAAAGCATCAGTTCTTCAGCACTCAGCTTTCTTTACAGTCCAACTCTCACATCCATACATGACTACTGGAAAAACCATAGCTTTGACTAGACAGACCTTTGTTGACAAAGTAATGTCTCTGCTTTTGAATATGTTATCTAGGTTTGTCATAGCTTTTCTTCCAAGGAGCAAGTGTCTTTTAATTTCATGGCTGCAGTGATTTTGGAGCCCCCCAAAAATAGTCTCTCACTGTTTCCATTGTTTCGCCATCTATCTGCCATAAAGTGATGGGACTGGATGCCATGATCTTAGTTTACTGAATGTTGAGTTTTAAGCCAGCTTTTCCACTCTCCTTTTTCACTTTCATCAAGAGGCTCTTTAGTTCTTCAATTTCTGCCATAAGGGTGGTGTTTTCTGCATATCTGAGGTTATTGATATTTCTCCCAGCAATCTTGATTCCAGCTTGTGCTTCATCCAGCCCGGTATTTTGCATGATATATTCTGCATATAAGTTAAATAAGCAGGGTGACAATATACAGCCTTGATGTACTCCTTCCCAATTTGGAACCAGTCTGTTGTTCCATGTCCGGTTCTAACTGTTGCTTCCTGACCTGCATACAGATTTCTCGGGAGGCAGGTAAGGTGGTCTGGTATTCCCATCTCTTGAAGAATTTTCCGGTTTGTTGTGATCCACACAGTCAAAGGCTTGGCATAGTCAATAAAGCAGAAGTAGATGTTTTTCTGGAACTCTCTTGCTTTTTCGATGATCCAACAGATGTTGGCAATTTGATCTCTGGTTCCTCTGCTTTTTCTAAATCCAGCTTGAACATCTGGAAGTTCACAGTTCATGTACTATTGAAGCCTGGCTTGGAGAATTATGAGCATTACTTTGCTAGTGTGTGAGATGAGTGCAGTTGTGCGGTAGTTTGAGCATTCTTTGGCATTGCTGTTCTTTGTGATTGAAATGAAAACTGACCTTTTCCAGTCCTATGGCCACTGCTGAGTTTTCCAAATTTGCTGGCATACTGAGTGCAGCACTTTCACAACATCACCTTTTAGAGTTTGAAATAGCTCAACTGGAATTCCATCACCTCCACTAGCTTTGTTCCTACTGATGCTTCCTAAGGCCCACCTGACTTCACATTCCAGGATGTCTGGCTCTAGGTGAGTGATCACACCATTATGGCTTCCTCTGTGCCACATTATTGTGGCACCATTCCTGGCTTCTCGCTGCCTAAATCACAGCTCCACCCACAATGCTCACTCAGAGACCTCCCAATCCAGAGTTTGTCACCCACCACCAGGCACTCTACACCTCCCTCCTTCTTCCTCTCCTGACTCTGATGGGCAGAGCCTCTCATCTCCCGCAGGACACACCTGCTCCGTTTCAGAGCACTCCTCTGCCCTCCACCCTCATAGCCAGAAGACTAGCTTCCTATCCTGAAGTTTCTCTCTTCTCACCCCATACTCTCCTTCTCTGAGAGCTCTTTCATCTGCTTTCCATATGAGTCTCCCCTAACCTGCTTCCTAATACCATCCTCCATCAGAAGTCTCTCCACTGAACTTCCCTGGTGGTCCAGTGGTTAAGACTCCTTGCTCCACTGGAGCAGGCACAGATTCCATCCCTGGTTGAGGAAGTTCCACATGCCAAGGGGCAGCCAAAGAGAAAAATAAATGCATAAAGTAAACTACACCCAATGGAAACTAAATACCACTAGCAATTTGATAGCATCACCACTACAATCACACCTTAAAAAAAATAATAATAATAAATAAACATTTGGAAATTGACATCGTTCTTAAAAAATTAATAATTCTCTCCACTGCATCTACTCTGCTTTTGTCTCCCTGCATTTATGCCTCTGTCTGCGTCCTGGGGGAATGACCCATCTCCCTGTGGGCAGGGAGATGCTGCTGTCTCGTCCTTCTTTCTGCTGACCCTCCCTCCACCTCCCGGTGCACAGAGTGGATCTCTGCACTCACGGGGCCCCTGCAGGCAGTCAGGCAGTGGCAGCTTAGGAGGGGAGCACCCCAAAGGAAAAGCCAGTCCTGTCTCTCCATCTTATTTCTGGTAAAGAGTTTGTTGGATGCTTTTCAACTGAAAGCAGATGATTAATTCAGCCCTGGCCTTGTTCTGTCTTTGATCACAGATAAATTAGTTTACCTGAAAAGAAACCTTTTCATTTATGTTTCCATGTCACCTGTGATTTCCCCTGCCTTTCACCCACAGCCCTGCCAGCTGGCAGGAAGAAGGTCAGCAAAGCTGCTGATAAGAGGAGTATAAAGAGGGCTTGGCTCATGGCAAGGGGCAGTGGTCTACTCGCTAGCAACATGCTGCGCTTGCTGGTGTTCGCCTCCCTCGTCCTTTATGGTAAGTGGGTCATCCGGCCGGAGATCTGTAGGGAGGGAGATAGAGCAGGAGGGTCCGAAAGCTTTCACTGAGCCCAGGTCTTATCCTGGGGCAGGCAGGAGACTCTGCCTGTGTGTCTAGCAAAAACTTTACTCTCCTGGAGCTCATGATAGAAAAGGTCAGGAACCCCTGGCTGACAGGTTCCTGAAGCAGAGGGGAGCCTCTTCCAGGCCCCAGGCTTCCCCATCATCCCCGATGACAGGAAGACATCCTCAGCAGGTGCCTCGTGGTGTGTGTACTGCTGTCCCTGCTCCCTGGGGAATCCAGCTGACACTCTGTGTGCAGGCAGGTGGGGGTGAGGTGAGGGGTAGAGGCCCTGAGCAAGGCTGAGACCACTGGGTCCTGTCCGCTGTGTGAAACGGGTCAGAGTTCTAGGGACACGTAGGGGAAGCAGAAGGCACTTGGACTTCCCTGCTTTCAAAAGGGACCCGGGGAACTCACAGCTGGGCCCCTCATTTGCTAGGGAGGAACTGTGAGTTTGCAGACAAAGCACAACTGCCATCCGCCCTCCCACCCTGAGCTGACCCCATGCTTAGTCATCACTCACTTTTCTTCTGCTCCACAAAGGACACAGCACCCAGGACTTTCCAGAAACCAATGCCAGGGTAGTTGGAGGGACTGCGGTCTCGAAGAATGCTTGGCCCTCTCAGGTGGGTGTTCCTTCACAGCCCCAGACTGCCAATGAAATTAAAGTTGCTTGTGCCCAGATATAGATTGTTACGTATATTTGTGCATATCCTTATCAACAGGAAGTTCTCCAACTGCTTGGATTCTAAATGTTGACAAACGGGACCAGACTTAGGAGTTTTTCTCTAAATGCAAAAACACCAACCACACTCACTGTCCCAGGCACACACCCAAACACAAACCTCATGTATACTCCCAGCAATACCACTTTGACCACACTAGCAAGACTGTATGCCAGGCTCACACAGATGCAACACACACACACACACACACACACACACAGCCCTATCCATGCAGTGTGTGTCACACATTTGGACACACCCTGCCCCCAAATAGAGCACCTTGTTCATGTGGCTATTTAAAGAGTTTCCACTTTCAAAATAAGGCAGCTAGGCTTTGATGTAAGCAATTCTAATTGTGTAAAACTGGCAAATTGACTGGTGAATAGCCATACTTTGAGAGGAATCACTACAACGAATTCTGAATTAAACCCAATTTACAAAAGTTTGCGCCTCCATTTTCAGGAGTAGAGTTGTTGTGTGATGAGAGCCACTGAAGGAGGAGGCGTGAACTGAAGAAAATGAACGCTCCAGTGGTGTTTCTAAGCATCTGCTGAATGAAGGGCCAGGGTGTAACTTGAAAACACTGGAGGGGAGTTCTGGGGACCTCAGCTTGTGAATTAGGTGATAGAGCAATTCCATGGCTACATTTCCTTCCCAAGAGGCAATGGTCCTTCCCAAGAAGGACCTGGGTTCTTGGCCCTTTGCAATAACCAGTGTAACGATGCCAAATGCACTGTATGTTTAGCCCAGATAGTTGGCGGGTGTTTTGAGGGACGGCAGGAATTTAAGGAGACCTTGGTTTGGGACAAAGTTTTTTTAAAAAACACCAGCCTATCCCTCTTTTCTTCTCTCCCCATCTAGATTTCCCTCCAGTACAAGTCTGGAAGTTCTTGGTATCACACCTGTGGAGGCACCCTCATCAAACAGAACTGGGTGATGACAGCTGCTCACTGTGTGGATAGGTGAGAAAAACAAACCAGCTTTTCTGAGACCCTGGGAGGGGAAGAATCTGGTCCTTCTAGAGGAATATGTATCCTGGACCACTCAGGACAAGACTTAAGAAGGTGTTTGGGGGCCTGCAGGGAGGTAGTAAGATGAAAAGTACAAACTATGTACTTTTCAAAGCTTGGCATCAGACAAGTTCACATTCAAATCCAGTCCCACCCTTCTTCTAGCTATGTGAACTTGGACGGCTTACTTAGCTCCCTAAGCTCTCACTCTCTTATCTCTAAAATGGGGTAATAATACCTACTTTGTAGAATTATTGTGAGGATTAAGTAGATAAATATTTAAGTACCTAGTCAATGCCTGACCGGTAACCATTTTTTCATATTTATCTTGAGCAATGGTTCTTAAATTTGAGCATGTATCAGAATCACCTGCAAGGCACAGATTGCTGGGCCCCACCCAGTAGAGTTTCTGATAGAGAACTCCAGGCTGAGTCCTGATAATCGGCGTTTCTAGCAAGTTCCCAGGTTCTACTGATGCTGCTGGTCCAGGGACCACGTTTTAAGAACTCTTGGTCTAGAAGTTTATATACTTCTCAACATCCCTCTGTGGTCTGAGAGACATTCTTTCATTTATGCCCACCACACTTCTCCCAAGTTATGAGATATTCAGCCTCTGATGTTTAACTTAGTATATTGGGGAAATGAAGTTGATGGTAGTTTTTGTCACTTCCACAAGTTAGCAAATTGGGGATAAGAGGGCTGGTTACTTTTTCAGCTGCCAGGGTCTTCCATATTCCCTCTGCTTGGGCCGGAAAAGATGAGTTCCTGTCCTAAAAGTGAGATGAAAGATGCCTTCCCAACTTTCCTCTGAGAGGAGAAAGAGAAGGATCTCTCAGGGGTTCCCTCTCTCCCTTCAGCCAAATGACCTTCCGTGTGGTGCTGGGAGACCACAACCTGAGCCAGAACGATGGCACCGAGCAGTACATAAGCGTGCAGAAGATCGTGGTGCACCCATCCTGGAACAGCAATAACGTGGCTGCAGGGTAGGGCAAGGTGGGGCTGGCCCGGGGCTGGGAGGTGGAGGGCTAGCTGCCCAGCACAGGGTCTGGGCTTCCTTCATATTCATCCAGGAGGACTTTGAGAATTAAGATGTTGGGGAATTCCCCAATGGCTCAAGTGGTAAAGAATCTGCCTGCAATACAGGAGACACAGGAGACCTGGGTTCCATACCTGGGTCAGCAAGATCCCCTGGAAGAGGAAATGGTAACCCACTCCAGTATTCTTGCCTGAAAAATTCCATGGACAGAGGAGTCTGACGGGCTACAGTTCATGGGGTTGCAAAGAGTCAGACACGACTGAGCACACACTAGGGCTTGAGAACATTTGAAGGTCTTTGGGATTTGTTTGATCTGGACTGGTCTGCATCATTGGATCCCCTGAAGCTCCTTCTCTGCAGAGTTTAATGTTCCTGTTTCTGTTGTTATTTATTATTCATTTTATGGCACAGACTCCATTAGCAAAGGGCTTTCCTTGTAGCTCAGTTGGTTAAAAACTCCGCCTGCAATGCAGGAGACCTGGGTTCCATCCCTGGGTCAGGAAGATCCCCTGGAGGAGGAAATGGCAACCCACTCCAGTATTCTTGCCTGGAGAATCCCATGGACAGAGGAGCCTGACAGGCTACAGTCCATGGGGTCGTGAGAGTCAGACACGACTTAGCCACTATACCACCACCATTAGCAAAAACAGATTTCCTAAAATGAATCTTACAGTAAGAAAACTTCTGCAAGACTGATCTATAAACTTCTGGAAAAGAAGTAGTTAAAAGGGTGGCCAGTCTATAGAGTGTGGGAGTGGGGATGGGCTCCAGTAACTGGGGTATACCTGCAGAGCATTTATGTCTTTCTCATTTGAGAACTCTTCTCAGCTACCAAGACCACAACCCTCCACTCCTTTTTCTAAGCTTCACTGCCCGGGGCTGCAAATCAGACCTAGCGACCATGCCAAGACCTCACCAGCAGGGGCTGCTATTGCACATAGAATATCCTAGACTCCAAATGCGCAATTCCTCAAGTTTGAAGCTTGTTGAATCCCCTCCTTCTTCGAAGTCACTGGTTTCCGATCCTGTGGGGATACGAGGCTTAGGGAGGGCCTGTCCCTATGCTGAGCTGAAGGCACTTCCGGTCGCGCGAGCGAGCAGTCTCCTTTCCACCCGCAGTTACGACATCGCCGTGCTGCGCCTGGCCCAGAGTGCTACCCTCAACAGCTATGTCAAGCTGGGTGTTCTGCCACAGTCGGGAACCATCCTGGCTAACAACACGCCCTGCTACATCACAGGCTGGGGCAGGACTAAGAGTAAGTCGCCTGCATGGGCACCATCCATCCCCCATATGGATACTGATTAGGTAGCTGAGCTTCTGCAGCCCTTGTTTTGCGGTCCTAAGTATTCAGAGCTGGAGGCCAGGAACCAGAGGAACCACCAGAGATAAAATAACTGGTGTGTGAAATCAACCTAAGAACAAGCCATGGAACAGTCAATTCAGAGATTCACAGACTCACAAAAAAAATAAGGCCTTACCTCAGAGAGTATTTTTTACTAGCCTCTCATTTTATATATGAGGAAACTGAGCCCCAAAGAAAGTAAAGACCTTCTTCAAGATCACATGACTAGTTAGTGACTAGTTAGTACATGGTTAGCTGGGGCCAGAACACAGGTATCTTGGCTCCCACTTTGGTGGTCACTACGGCATCATGCTACCTCCATAGACAAATCACCAGGCTGTGGGTTGGAGTGAATGAGCCAGGGGAGGTTGCAGGTCCAATGAAGTCAAGGCAGAAGAGGCCTCAGCCCTCTTCTGGTCAACCATGGGAGGATTACTGGAAGGGAAGGTCACTGGATGACATGGAAAGGTGGGAGAGGCTACGAGCAGAGATGGTTAGCAAGGGTAGAGACAGCAGGGCTGGTGCAGAAGGCTGAGAACCACTGGGCAGGATCTGAGCTCTGCAGGAGAGGCGAGGTCTTGCTGTGAGCAGCAGGCTACTGGGAACACTTGGGGCTGAGACAGACATGCTTCTAATCCAGCTCTGCTCTCGGTTCACTTAATGTCATTGTGGTTCAATTTCTTGATCTGTATATAACATGAAAGGGTTGTTGTAAGTATCCAAAAAAAAAAAAAAATCAGATAAAGGAAAACTGCACTAAGTTCTTAAGAAATGGAAAGAAGGCTGCCAGATCCAGTTCTACTCCATGGGTTTATGGTGTAAGGAAGAGGCAGGGCAGATAGGTAAGTTATTAACAAATAAGACCATTCTAGTTACTTAACTAAAGTAGTCATGAGTTAGTGGTTTGGAATCTGGGAATACTAGTCAAGGAAGGTGCCTGTACCTTTCATCTAAAGAGAAACAAGAGGACAATCTATGACATGGCAGAGAAAAGGAGCTTACCCTGACTTCAGCTTTCATCAGAACTTGGGGAAGCTTGGCCAGGTATGGGAGGTTTTCCCTGCACAGCATCGGGAGCTGACCTCTAAAGTTGTGTGTGATGTTCAGCCAATGGGCAGCTGGCCCAGACCCTGCAGCAGGCTTACCTCCCCTCCGTGGACTACGCCACCTGCTCCAGCTCCTCCTACTGGGGCTCCACCGTGAAGAACACCATGGTGTGCGCTGGAGGAGACGGAGTTCGTGCTGGATGCCAGGTGAACACAGGCTCAGAGTGTCAGAAGTCTCACCCCAGCTCCCTCTCTTCTCTGCCTCTCGCCCCCTACCTTTTCCCCACCTTCTATTCCTCACCTACTCCCACCCTTATATACAGACTCAACTTTCTAGTCTAGTGTCTGGATGAGAATTATTCTGTGCTGGTAAGTCTGTATTCAAGGAATTTCAAAGTTGAGAGGAACCTTAAAATTCATCTTGCCAGATGCCCCCACCTCAAAAGTTTGTGTGTGGCCTAACATTTGTGTTAATATATGTGAGTGTTCTTCAGAAGTTATTTGAGCCTCAGCTGTGTAATGGCTGCAGTAGGGCTAGGCCTGGAGTGGTGGTTGTAACTGTGTATAAGGTAGCTTCCCTCCCATCAACCCCAATTTTTCTTTCTTTCTTTTTTTTTGGTATTCTGTTTATTTATTTGACTGAGCCAGATCTTAGTTGTAACACGTGAGATCTTCTGTCTGGGATCTTTAGTTGCAGCATGTGAACTCCCAGGTTCAGTATGTGGGACCTAGTTCCCTGACCAGGGATCAAACCCAGGCCCCCTACATTGGGAGTGCAGAGTCTTAGCCACTGGACCACCAGGGAAGTCCCGACCCTAATTTTTCTTATAGCTCCTCTACCACCCTTTTGACCCAGTAGTATTGACAGCAATATATATACAGGTGAATACAGTAGGGGAAAGTACTCTAAATAGCTTTATAATAGTATATATATATAAACTATTATAAAATTCTGTATATGTATAAATCATCTTCTATTTACACAAGATCAATCAGCAGTACACCACCTTATAGATTTGGTAATGCAGTCCAATAAAATTTCTTGATTATCTGCTAACTGCTAGGCACTGTGTTTGATTCATCTTTGTATCAAAAATACAAAAGATACAAAGATAAATATAAAACAGTCTAGTGGAGGAATGGAAGGAGCAGACATAGGACAGAATATCTACAACGTGGCTAAGTGTTATAATAAAGACTTGCCTAAGGTGATACAGGAATCAAAAACACAGGTACTCCCCTCTCTGCCTGCTGGTGTCAGAAAAGACCTGCCTTCCCTGAGAAGCTAGTGTTTGTAGTGAGTCACGAAGGTTAAACAGAAAGTCAAGCAAGAAAAAAGAGGAAAAAATATTCAGAGAGAGAGAACATGAAGAACGACATGGGCTAAGAACCTAGAACACACAGAGAATTATAAGGCATTCCCTACAACTAGAGCATCGGGCTACAGTCCATGGAGTTGCAAAGAATCAGACACGACTGAATGACAAACCAGCACAGCACAGCACAGCAAGATCCCAGAGGAGAAGGAAGAGATGAACCAAGAACACAGGTGGAGCTGGCTTTGAACAGAAGAGGGACACAGAAACATGCATGGACATGAAAGGATGTACAGGCTGAGTAGCTGAAAGTTGGTGGGTGTTCTGTAATTGCTTCTACTTACTCATGAACTAGGAGTCAAATTAAATGCGGAAAATGAAGGGGTAAAAGGGTTGTACCGATTTGGATTAATTAAGATGAATGGAGAAAGACTGACCTCCATGATGTTGCTGATAAGCTGAGGTTAGAGACCATGCAATAATCATATGGGTAAATGATTCACTCCATTCAAAGATCTAGTTGTAGGGAATGGATTAGTTCAGGGCTGGGTTTTCATGCATTATTGAAACATAAAGACAGTATTGCAGATCAAATGCAAGCTCTAAGCTAGGTGGAGGAGGAAGAGAAGCCAGAAGGAGACTGGTAGGCTGGCTGAAATAGTAGAATCAAAAATTAAAGGTTGTTTTTTTGGTTAGCACTTAATACTGTGAAAGTAAAGTGACCAATTCATCCCAGTTTTCCCAGGACTTCCCCAGGGTCAGCTGAAAAAAACCTAAAACCACACAACCTAAAAGTTAAGAGTTTTGTTTTATTCGATGAACTTACTGAGGACTATAGCCTGGAAGACACCCTCTCAGACAGCTCAGAGGAACAGTTTCAAAGAGGTAAGAGAGGAGCCAGGGGATGTTAGAATTTTTGCTGGGAAAAAAAAACAAAGAGTCAGCCATCAAAGATTACTGCTAATAACAAAAAACAGACATCTCAAGTGAATGGTTTCAAGTGCTTTTCTCTGTATGGGAAGATGCAAGAGTCTGGGCTCACAGAAATCAGGCTTTGATATTCATTGTAACTATCTAGGGTCAGTATCATTTTTCTCCATCCTGAAATCCCTTCAGGATGTGGAGAGCAGCTTCAGGGGCAGGTGGCTTGATAGTGGGCAACATTCACTGTTTGCCAGAATAGCAAGCAACATTTTTTTGTCCACATCTAAAAGTCCTGTATCCTTGGAACCCTACTTGCAAGTTAGGGCAAAAAAAAAACCCAAAAAACAATGATGCGGGACTTCCCTGGTGGTTTAGTGGCTAAGGCTCAGCGCTCTGAATACAGGGAGCTCTGGGTTCGATCCTTGGTCAGAGAACCTTCCTGAGTTTAATTCACTTTCCCCTGCTCTCTCTCAAAGTCTTGAACTCTGAAAAACTAGAGTACTTTCCTTCTGGCTGACACTGCAAATCAGATATTCTCTGAGGGCATTGTGTCTCCACGGTCTCTTCCCACTGGAATTTCCCAAATATTGTGTCTTGGTTTGGGGGCTTTCAGATTTCTGTGTCCCCAGCCAGTCTCCTCAGAGGGGATTCATTAAACACCTCTCACCTCAATCCACCCACTCCCACTGAGCTGTCTCCCAGCTCTTCCTTCTGCCCTAAAGTCCTCAGCCATATCCTCCTTCACTACAGAGCTTTTGTTTCTTTTCAGGTCAATTAGCATAAGACAGTAATACGGTACACAATTCAATTACCTTCCATTCCTCTAGTTTAGAAATACTCTCAAATCCCTATTAGAATTTAAGTGGAAGATATTTAAACTGTTTTGTATTGAGTACAATAACCTAAAGGAATATATATCTTTCTTTTTATAAAAAGAATGACCATCTTCTTTTCCCAAATATAGTTAGGGTGGGGTAGAGCTACTTCCTTTAAAAAAAAAAAAATTAGCCCCAATTTCAACTTTTGGTCTCTTTCCCTAGTTCTTCTTTTTTTAAGTTTTAATTTTCATTGAATGATTACTTTGTTTAAGGTGGCAAATAAAACTCTGAGGCTTGATAGTGGGAAAGAACAGTCATTGTGTTTCTTCTACCACCTCGAGTTCTCCCTCCCTAGAGGGGACTACTTTTAATTCTTGAGTTGATTTCTTTTATGTCTACCTCCAGCTCTCTAAAAGCCTGTACTTATATTGCTACTTAATTTTTCACTTCAGGCATTATGCAAGATATGGAACTTCTCTTCCTTTACACATTTATACTTGTCCCTCAAGCATGAATTTTTCTGATCCCCACTCCAACCTCCCTAAATAATTTCTGTTAAACTAACATTTAGTGTTTATTATAATTATGTAAAATGCTATTCCCTGAATAATTTTGTTTTCCCTGGAGTTAATAATTGTCTTTTAAAATTTGCATAATATATACTCATGGCAAATAGATGGGGAAAAAATGGAAACTGGCAGATTTTATTTTCTTGTGCTTAAAAATCACTGCAGATGATGACTGCAGCCATGAAATCAAAAGACACTTGCTTCTTGGAAGAAAAGCGATGACACACCTAGACAGCATATTAAGAAGCAGAGGCATTACTTTGCTGACAGAGGTCCATATAGTCAAAGCCACGGCTTTTTCTATAGTCATGTACAGATGTGAAAGTTGGACAATAAGGAAAGCTGAGTGCCGAAGAAATGATGCTTTCGAACTGGAGAAGACTTGAGAGTCCCTTGGACAGCAAGGAGATCAAACCAGTCAGTCCTAAAGGAAATCAACCCTGAATATTCATTGGAAGAACTGACGCTGAAGCTGAAACTCCCATACTTTGGCCACCTAATGAGAAGAGCAGACTCAATGGAAAAGACCCTGGTGCTGGGAAAGATTGAGGGCAGAAGGAGAAGGAGATGACAGAGGATGAGATGGTTGGATGGCATCACCAACTCAGTTGACATGAGTTTGAGCAAACTCTGGGAGATAGTGAAGGACAGGGAAGTCTGACATGCTGCAGTTCATGGGGTCACAAAGAGTTGGACAAGACTTATTGACTGAACAACAACCAAGCACATACTCAACTCATCACCAGTTCAGCCTTAAACTCTCCACTAATTTATAACTGACTTATTTTATCTTCTCTTGACCCTAGTGTTCTGTGTCTTGGTATGGGTCTATTTGCATTCATTTTGAGGGATACTTAGCGAGTTTTTTCATCCTGGAAACTCCAGACTTTTGGTTCTGAAAATGTTTATTTATTGATGATTTCCTCCCCTCCATTTTCGTTTTTTGTTTCTAGAATTCCTGTTACTCACAATCCACCTCCTAAAATGGTTCTATTTTCTTATTTTCTCTCTATGTAGTTTGTCTACTTTATCTCCTAGCCTAATATTTCATTTATACTATCACATTCATATTTCCAAAGGCTTTTTGTTTTCTGAATGCTCTAATAGTTTGCTCTTCTTATATCATGGATATAATACTAATATAGTTTTATTGTTTATAGTCTTCTCCCTGCATAATCTTGGTTGTCTTCATTTTTGGTTTATTTCTTTCTCTTTATTTTGATCTTTATTTTTTTAATTTTTAAAAAAAAATTTTATTGGATATAGGTAATTTATAATGTCGTGTGAGTTTCAGGTATACACAAAGTAGAATCAGTTATACATATGCATATATTCACTTCTTTTTTCATTATTTTCCCACATGGGCCATTACAGAATATTGAGTAGAAGTTCCCTGTGCTGCACAGTAGGTTCTTATTAGTTACCTATTTTACATATAGTACTGTATATACATCAATCCCCATCTCCCTATTTTTCCCTCCCTGCCCATTTCTCTCTCCCCTGATAATCATAAGTTTGTTTTCTATATCTGTGACTCTACTTCTGTTTTAGATTCCACATGTAAGTGATATCATATTATATTTCTCTTTCTGTGTCTGACTTACTTCACTCAGGATCTTTATTTTTATATTGAGGTTTTCTTCCCTGGTGACTCAGATGGTAAAGAGTCTGCCTGTAATGCAGGAGGCCCGGGTTTGATGCCTGGGTCAAGAAGATCCCCTGGAGAAGGAAATGGCAACCCACTCCAGTATTCTTGCCTGGAGAATCTCATGAACAGAGGAGCCTGGAGGGCTACAGTCCATGGGGTCGCAAAGAGTCAGACACGACTGAGCAACTAACACTTTCTTCAGATGTTTGGTCATCCTTGACCATCTGCTCTTATTTCAGAGTAGGGCAGTGGCAAGCTGACAGGTACCTCTGAGCCATAGGTGGGGTTCATCTATAGGGAACTGCTTTGACAGGTGATCTGGCTAGGCCGTTTCGTTGGAGGGCTTCTGATGATAGTACCTCAAAGTCTTCCCTCTTGTGCCCGTCAGATTCTTCAATGAAATAGCTTCCAATTTTATGTCTGGAATCACAGAACTGACATCTGGGAACTGAGTAAGGAAAAGAGTATCAAGGTCATAATCTGTAAACTCAGATTCTTTCGATTCTAAGCCCAAGCTCGTAACCACTACCCAATACATTACTTTCTCTTCTCTTTACCTCAGTTTAGTTTAACATGTTTTGACTACCTACCCTGTTATATAAATACTGTCTAATTAGACCCATTGGTCTGAATGCTGAGAGTAGATAAATCACTAGAACACCCTATTTCCCCCACCGTAGGTTCAATTTAAGTCAGTAACAGCTATTGAGCTTAAGACATTCAAAGTTCTATGCTAGCATTGTAGAGTGGAAAATATCAGCAAGATGCAGTTCCTGTCTCAAGAAGCTCACAGATAAGCGTGGGAGTTAGAAACAAATTATGAAACCAAAACACAAGGCAGAACATGACAAACGTGCTGCACAAGAAAGGAAGAAGTACTATAATTGTTTAGAAAGTGGGGATGCGAAGGAAGTAGGGATTTCAATTGGAGCTTTTATACAGTACAGGATTTATAAATAGAGATGTGGGTGGGTAGGGTGTAAGCAGAAACAAAGGCCCAAAGATCCAAAGATCTGGAGTTTTAGGACTCTGCTTCTCTTCCCCACAGGGTGATTCTGGGGGCCCCCTTCACTGCTTGGTGAATGGCCAGTATGCTGTCCATGGTGTGACCAGCTTTGTATCCAGCCTGGGCTGTAATGTCGCCAAGAAGCCCACAGTCTTCACCCGGGTCTCTGCTTACATCTCTTGGATAAATAATGTGAGTCCTCTCAAATAATGGGATGAAATAGTCACCTGGAGATTCATGCATTGACTGGGGTAGGGAGCAAAAGTTGGGCAGGAGAAGCCATCATCTTCCTCATCACTTCAAATATTTATTTACCCCTTTCCCTTCCCCCCTAGTGAACTTTCCCCTGATAGTGTTGCCATCCTGAGTTCCTCTTCACATACCTACTAAGCAGGCTTCATCATATTGTTTACTACTTAAGAGTAAGGTGGTGGCAATAGCAGACCTGAACCAGGTGCCGATCAGGGCTGTCCAAGTCAAGGCCAAGGGGAAAATGGCTTCAGAAAGGCCTGCACACTCCAGGCAACGGAAGAGGCACTAACATTCTCCCCTACCAGTTCTTTCTAAGGGCATCATGAGAATTTGCTCTACCCTTTGGCAAGAGGTTTCACCACCTTAAACAATGCTTGAGGGCTAGTGAGAATGTACCTACACTGACCTGGTGGTAGAGCCTCACACCATCCCACCTGTGCCCTCTAGCCTTCAAACACGTTCTGCAGTCTTGCGGTATGAACCTTGACTTAAAACCAGTTCAAGGTCTGCCACTGAGTTCTGAGTATGTGCCTACAGCACTGAATTGTCCTAGCCCAGTTAAGTACTGCTTCCTGCCTCCCACCCTCACAACTCCCCATAAACCCAGTACAGGGCCATACTCAACTAGGAGCCCTGAAGGAAAAAAAAAGGAGGTGAGCAGAAGTTGCTGACTGGATATAACCATTTTTTCCTTCAGGCCATTGCCAGCAACTGAACACCTTCCTGAGTCCAGCGGCCTTCCCAAGATGATTCTGGGATTGACAGCAGAACTTGAGGCCATCAAGGAAAAAACATTCTAAGACACTATTGTGCCAGATGCGGAAAAGCAAATAAAATCAAATATACATATCACCCTGTGTCTTTTTATTTGTAATTAAGTCTTCTGAGGAAAGGCAGTTATAGGGCCTGAGTTGGATTTCACCAGATTTCTGGGATGGTTCTTCCATTTGCTGCCATATCTGTCAGTTCACAAACTAAGCCAAGTGAAAGTGGCCTTACATTATCCTTTTTGGATTATGTTAGGATCTACCCATCTGTTAATCTGTCTGTCTGCCCCTCTTCCCACACATATTTGCTATATTCAGAGGCACAGAGGGCTTTAAAAATGTTCCAGAATAACAAAATGTGCCCTGACTCTCCCAGGTAGATTGGGGGCTCATCCTTCTTTTGGTTCTCCCTTCAGTGCCTAGAACAGTGCTCACCCCAAAGTTCTGAGTCATGCAACTGTGGGATACATTAGAGATAGGAGTATAAGATTAGGTGGTAGGTCAGATGCCAGCAGACAGTGAAAGTGACAAATTAGGAGATAGAAAAGAATTGAGAAAACGAGAAAAGAAGATGCGGAACAAAGAAAGGAAAGGATTGAAGGGGAAATAATATGGGGCCTCAAGCTAAGTATGAGTCAGCACTTCAAGGTTGGACTAAAATAGGCAACTGGATCCGGGGTTCTATAAAAAACAGAACTGGGAAGCTGATGAATCTTCCCTATCCTGGCCAGGGCTCAGTCTGTTAAAAGTGGCCTATGATAAAGCAAAGAGGGAACTGAAAGGAGAAAGCTAAGGGGATGACAAACAGTTTTTCACAGCAACTGCTGAGGATCAGACAAGAGGGATCTGGAGAGTTAATATTACATTAGAAGAAACTGTCTAAGACCGGTCTCACAATTTATAGGCTACTTTGTCAGCAGAGGCTTCTAGAACAGTGTGTACAGCAAAAGAACCTGGGCAAGGGATTTCCCTGGTGGTCCAGTGGCTAAGACATTGTAACCCCAATGCAGGAGGCCTGGGTTCAATCTCTGGTCAGGGAACTAGATCCCACATACCACTATTAAGAGTTCACACAAAAAAGAAAAAAAAAAAAGAGTCCACAGTAACTAAAAGATCCTGCATGCCACAACTAAGACCTTGTGCAGCCAGATAAATCAACTACTTAAATAATTTTTTTTTTTTAAAGAAGCTGGGCTTGACAGGACACCTGTATTCCCATCTCTGTTCTACTACTGACAAACGGTGTATGTGCTTGTGCCAAGTCGCTTCAGTTGTGTCCAACTCTGTGTGACCCTATGCACTATAGCCCGCCAGAGGAACTGGATAACCCTGGCAAGTCACCCTTTCTGTTACTCATATTCCCAACCTAGTAACTTTCCAAAGATTTTTCCTGCTCTAATACTACATGATTTGGTGACTATCAATTTCAGTTTCCAAGGGATTGGCACTGAAGAGGCTTTTTTTAGGAAACAGTGGCTGGGCTGCATTGCTGAAGATGCTGTGAATTCCAGAGAATGACCCAGGTATTGGCCTCCTTCTGCTATTGACACATCTGTGGTGATTACCATCTCTCTTAGTGCTCCCACAGCACCATTGTCCTCCCACTTCCCCCCACGTCTTCCCATCCAACATCAAGTCCTTCTATTTTTTCACTTTGCCACTTCTAGATCATCCCCACAGCTAGCATTATAACAGAATAAATCCTAATGACCTATTACCCCAAATTTTTGTACCCATCTCTAAAATCATCTGATTAACAACCTATCTCCACTTCCAGACTTTAAGCATTTTTAAGTCAAGAATCACTTTTTAAAAATTCATTCTTGGCTTCCCAACACCCAGCAATGCCTGTCACATGGTTGATTCTGAGTGCAATATGGCTCTTTGGGGGAGTGATCGGAAAATGATAGCAGAGAAGGCCTTCTGATTTTGTTTCAGGCGTTCAGCTTCCTTCTCCAGTTCTTAGGAAGTTTATCTTGACCTCATTTCCTCCTTTTGAGGAATTTTACTTGCAAAATCCTTGAGTAAATAGTTCCTCCAAACCTAGTGTCCTAATTTCCAGCTATCTTCTCAATCAGGTCAGGAAGCAACTTCCATTTGGAAACCTTCTACCTAGAGAAGCAACTGTTATAATCTCAGCAGTCCCATCCCGACTTACACAGTGTATTTTCTGCCTCCATCTAGTATACTATACTAATTCCTCCAGCTAGAAAAATTTGCTCCCCATGCCCAGCACAGGCTGCCATATCCAACTCTTTGGCCTTTTTCTATAAGGTCCTCTCCCTTTCTAAGCATCTTCATTTCTACTTCTAGCTCAGCTGCTCCTCTCTTTCAGGTCTCCAGATTTGGAGTCCTGTCTTCTTTGCTCAACTTACCCCTCCTCCCAGTTTAGGTTTAGAGTCATGAGTGAAAAAATGTTGCCTGACATATCAGTAAACAAAAGATGTTGCAGTCATCAAGTCATCACATTATAGCCCCATCCTCCCCATGGTGAGCCCTGAGAGAGCTCAGGAGAGAGAGAGGATGCTGGCCCTCAGGCCATCAGCCTCTGCAGCCACCCCTCAGTGTTGTACCCTGAGGAGACTCAGGATGAGAAAGTGCAGAATGCTGGCCCCAGATAGTTGAGGTACATATCCAAGGAATGATTTCAGTGAGCCCAGACTCTTGCATTTTCCCCTAAATAGAAAAGTGCCAAATTCCTTGAGATACCTGGTTTTAATTAACTATAATCTTTTGATGATTACCTACTGGCTCTTCCCTTACCTCTTCTGAGCAGTTTCTCAGAGCTGAGAGGCTGTGTCCCAGGCTTAAGTCCTTAGTTTTGTCTGCTAAATAAAACGTAATTCTCAACTTTTAGATTGTGCTTTTTCTTTTTTTTTCCCCCAGTTGACAGAGCCAACCTCTCCAGTAGAGGGCTTCATCTTTAAAAACTGCACCCTGAAGCAGAAAGTCCATTTTACTTGGTCATCCAGTTGTTGTTTAGTCACTAAGTCCTGCCTCGGTTTCTCCACGAACTGTATCCCACCAGGCTCCTCCATCCATGGGATTTCCCAGGCAAGAATACTGGAGTACGTTGCTCCTGCACACCTATCCATAAACACCCCATTCAACACTCTCACTGAGTGGAAATCACAAAATTTTCTTCCCGCCTGTTCCCGTTATTTTCCCCTGCTGATCGTTACAGCTGGTTAGCTCTCAGGGAACATTGAGTCTTGGCCCAGATTTGAAAACTCTTCGCGGCTGGTGTTCCTCTACCTCAGGGGTAGAGGGTTTGAAGCTGGCCTGGAGGAAGCGCCGCCTGAAGGCAGGCCTGCGTCTCCAGCCTCCTGGGAACAGACCCAACCCCAGCCTGAGCCCGACAAGTGTCCGTCCGCGGGCCCCTCGCCCATGCCCTGGGCCATGTCCGGGGCCTGAACCGCCGTGGGCCTCCAGGGAGGGCGCCAGGGAGCGGCCAGCTGGGCCTCCCGTGGGCTAGGCCGCCGCCCTGGGCCTGTGTTGCGCAGGTCTCTGGCTGCGTCCGGCCCGGCCCGGCCCGGGGCCTCAGGCGGTCCAGGGTGCTTCCCAGGTGGCAACGGGGCGGGGTGAGCTGCTCGAGGCCCGCCTGGCCGGATGCGAGGCATGACGGGAACCACACTTCCTTCTCTGGGGGCCTGGAGAAAACCACAGGGCCCCGGGCCAGGGCAGGCCGCCCCCGGGGGAGCCGGCAGGATGGCTGAGGGCCGGGCGGGCGGCGCTGCCGGCCTCTTCGCCAAGCAGGTGCAGAAGAAGTTCAGCAGGGCCCAAGAGAAGGTAGGCGGCTGGGAGCCCAGGCTGAGGCCCAACGCGGCCGCAGGGTGTGCGGGGTGCTGGGGGTGGGAGACCTAGGCTGGACACCGAGGCTGACCTCAGGAAAGGCGAGCAGGGGTTCCCATGAAAACAGGCAGATTTGAGAGAAGGCAGAGAGCCTCACCCAGTCTCGGACAGGGATGGGGGAAGCTGAGAGACAGTTCCCACCGTCTGTCTCTCTTGGAACCTAAACAACGCCCAAGCTGACCCAGAAAAGGGAAAAGAAAGGAACTAAGCGTTGGTGACAGCTCTGTAGCAGATTTTGTTCTCGCCACCCAGCGAGAGTGGTATTTTTCACAGATGATGAAACTGGAGGTTCAAAGAGGGTCATTTCCCACATAAGACAGCACTCACCAGCTGGGCTGGCAGCGAGTACCACCCATTAGCTGAGACCTGGAGTCTAGGAGGACTAGAGTAATTCTGACAGATTCTCTCCATGCCTGACCCAGCCTGGCCGCAGGCTATTGTTTTAGCTGATGTAAGCAGAAACTCATATCTGCTTCCTGTGCCTCCGTTTGGTGTTGGCGACTACTTGGTTCAGGGTGGCCAAGGAGCACCTCTTTTTGCACTGTTTCCTGAATTAGCTTTGGGTGGTCCTGCTCCATGGGGCTTCCCTGGTGGCTCAGATGGTAAGGAATCCCCCTGCTATGCGGGAGACCTGGGTTGAACCCCTGGGTTGGGAAGATCCCCTGGAGGGAGGGCATGGCAAGCCGCTCCAATATTCTTGCCTGGAAAATCCCCATGGACAGAGGAGCCTGGAGGGCTGCAGTCCATGGGGTGGCAAAGAGTCAGACAGGACCGAGAGTGAGTGACTAAGCATAGCACAGCTCCATCGAGGTAGACTGTCTGTCTATCTGTACCTTGCCCACTTAACTGGATGGTGTGACCATTTCTCCACACATTTCACTGGCATTTTTGTTTCTATGTGTCCAGAGTATTTTCTTTGCTTCTAATCTGAATCCCTGCTCTCCACCCACCAACACCCTGGTAGGTAAGATGGTAAGGAGAAATGAATAGGCTAGAAGGAGAATGGGAGGGAGAGAGATAATCAGGACCTGAGTGAGAATCTTGGTTTTCTAAGACTTCATGGTCTTAGAAGCATTTGAATGAACACCATATGCTTAAGAATTTAAATATTTGTATCATCTTCTAAAAGCAGAGCACTGGCTTGGGTGCTGGGAAGGATTAAAGGCAACCAGCTCTCCAAAGTGGGATTATTAACGGAGAATTGATGGAATATACATTTAGTCTTTAAGAGGCTCACAATGGAAGGGTAGGGGGAATATGTGTGTGTGTGTGTGTGTTTCCCCTGTCTTTGTCTGAGGAAGCTGGGTCATGTGAAAGAGCAGAGGAAAAGGGAAAGATTTTTGTGTGGCTAGATTTTGTTTCTTCACCTTAACCTAACTTCACCTTGATCATGGTTTTGATCTCTCCAAAGGTTACAAAGCCTATGGAAAGGTCTAGTTAGAAGTCATTGTGGAGGAAAAGGAGGTACTAGAGAAGAGAAGGCTGGTTACTCTATGGGTTGGAAAAACAAAAAGAAATCGCCAAAGGCCAAAAATGTGTGGACAATAGTTATGTTTTACCTTACTCTCTCACCTTCTATCATCATCCAACCTATCAACACTATGCATGCATGCGTGCTAAGCTACTTTAGTCATGTCTTTGCGACCCTATGGACGTAATCTGTCAGACTCCTCTGTCTGGGATTCTCCAGGCAAGAATACTGGAGTGGGTTGCCATGCCGTCCTCCAGCAGGTCTTCCTGACCCAGGGATCGAACTCGCATCTCTTACATCTCCTGCATTGGCAGGTGGGTTCTTTACCACTAGTGCCACCTAGGAAGCCCCATCACTATGCCCTTGCTTTAAGATTTTTCTCTCTCTCTCTTTTTTAAAAGCATGAACTTGAAGCCTCAGGTAAATAACAGCTCTGCTCTAGGCTTCAGATTCTGCATCTGTAAAATGCAGTTGATGTTCAGTGATTTGGAGACTCAATTTGGTAAGGACCCTGAAGTGAGAAGGGGAGAGGGCTCCTTAAACCTCAGAGTCAAATACTTCCCAACTATCCAGATACACCCTGTGCTTCTTAGTCTGAGCCCCTAGAAGGCAGAGAGAGGAACAAACTTGAATCTGCCCTGAGAAAGTCCCAGGCTGTTGCAGAAAACACGGAGATACTCTGAACGCAGACTTAGACACAAAGCAAGCAGACATTGAACTTCAAGCAGTACAGCTTGTACCCTAGAGGCAGTGGGTGTTGTCTGGATAGGATGGAAATGACCTGGGTTAGGAGAAAGAGTTCAGCTCAGCCTGTCAGAGTTTTTGAGTCTTGGGAAGTTATTGAAGGCAAAATAAAGACGGAGAAATTTACAGTCGAAAGAAAGGATTCCCTGGGACACTGCAATTTTACAATACGTGGTTGACTGTAATATGTAACAACTAATGTGTCAAATATCAAGTGCCTGCTATAGACAAAGCACAGGAATATAAGAAGGACATGATCTCTCCCTTTATGGAGCCCACATTCTCGTGATATGATCTCACTTCATCTTTTCAACGCTTTAAGCTTTGTGTTAGTATCCCAAATTTAGAAATGAGGAAATAAGGCTCAAAAGAGATCGGCAAGTGGCAAAATTATCACTGAAACTCAGGTGTCCTGCCTTAGGATCCCAATCTCAGGCTGCTCTCAATAAGGTTCCTGAAAAACCACTCTAACATCTGTTTCTCCCCACTTCCTGCTGTACCAGCCCACTTCCTGCTGATCTTCTTGCAGGAGTAAAGCTGGGAGTGAAGGTCTGGTGACTGTTAAACCAGTGGAGATGAAGCATCGTCTTGTTTTATTTCCCAGTTCCTTCTCAGATTCAAGATGAGTCTGGCTTTGTTGTGTTTTTACAGTATGCTACATCTTCACATTTCACACGAATGCTTTCACCATCTGTTTGTGATTTCTCTGTGGCAAGCCTCTCAGATCTCCCCCCAAGAAAAGGCACTCACTGTTTACCACTCCTCTGTTGGTCTTTTTCTCTGTTAACTTTCAGTCAACTTGTGAGGGTTCAATCAGCAATATTTACAGAAAAATCCCTTTGTCCACGATATGGGCTAGATAACTCATCTCTGGAACTTAGAGATGGGTTGAATAAGAGGCATTCTTGCCTGCTAGAAGCTTACAATCTAGGTTTGTTTTGTTTTGTTTTAAGTAAAATAAGTGACCTGAGAGAAATCCATGGGAATTCAGAAGACTTGAGAACAGAGCCGGGGTTTGTAGTGAAGGCTGAATTTGAGATAGGAATTATGTCTGATTAATAGTTCCTCAGGCAAGTGGTGAGAGAGCATTCCAGCTGAGGATTGCCAGCATGAGCAAAGCTAGAATCTGGAAATCCTTTTAGGCAAACTAGGAAGAAATACTGCTGAGCTGGAGCTCAGGGATTGGTGGGAGAAAAAGCTGGAAAATATATGAGGGGATAAAGGAGAGCCTACTTTAGAATATATCTTGACAATAAGGATTCCATAATATCTAATATCCAAGGCCTCTTCAAATTACTCCAATTGACAGAATTAACTAAAATATAATAAATGATTATAGGGAGGGGTCATAGTGAGGAACTACAGCTACCAAACACGTCTGCAGTGGCTTTTTTTTTTTTAACTTTATACTTGTAATTCAACTTATGTAAAAGGTAAAATAGGTGAATGAACATTGGAATATTCTTCACCTGTTTCACCAAGGGTTAACATTTTGCCACATTTACTTTTTTTCTTATCCCTGCTCTTTTCTCTTTAAATATCTGTATTCCAACTTCTCAGCTGCTAGCCCAGGCAAATTGGTGCAGAATTCTCAGTGCAGGACTTTAGGGATTAGCATTATATGGGCTTTCATTAGTAAGTGATCCAAAGGTAAAATTATTAATTCTTTCAACAAACATTTTTGGAGCACCCATACATCATCGTTTCTCAAGGAACTCAAGTTGAGGAGGAACATCTACAGCGTAGTTTAAGTGCCCTGAGACACGGCCCTATTGCTTAAGGCAACAAATACTTTGGCTCCAAGACACTGGGTTATGTTTTCAGGGTGATCCTACTCATCTTTTCAGTTTCAGAATTGAAGGTGGGCGTATTCCTTCAACAAACACACTCCCACACAGTCCAAGCTTTTTTGCCTTGAGCCCTTTGAGGTTTGGGGATATTGGTCTGCTCCCAGGTGTCACATTGACTCTAGACTGAATCAACTCCTCTCTCCTTTCAGCCCCCCACCCCCACCCCCAAGAACCAAGCTCCAGGCAGAGGAAGGGAGGGTTGGCAGGAAGGAAGTGAGAGCTGCGATTACCACTAAGCAAGGTGGTTTTGCAACTTTCCGGTAGAGGACAGTGTTTGGTTGAGGGGAGAGGGTGGAGCTGGGGAAGATGAGTGACTCTGCACACCCAGGGCCCTGTGTTAAGTGAGGCAGAATAGAGACACTAACACAGATGGCTGCCCTGAAAAGGAAGTAAAGACAGGTATTTATAGGGAGTAGAGTGGAACTCAGCACGATGATAGTGGATTTGTATTAACTATTCACCATGGGGCACCACTGTGAAAGCAATTTATGTGTATAATATCATTTAATTCTCCCAACAACTCCAGGAGATGCCATTATCTTAATGGAGGAAAGGGACTTCTACAAACGGAGGCTCTAGAGTTTAAGTGATTTGCCCAAAGGCTTATAGCCAGTAAGTAGAAAAGCCAAGATATAGGCATATATCAGTTTGGCTCCAGAGACCTTGAGCTTAACTGCCATAGCAAAAGCTCCAGAACCTCAGGATTAAGAATGGAGACACCTGAGTCAGAGTCTGCATAGAGCTGGCCTCACCCCCAAGACCTAGGCACTCCTTCATATGATTCAGAGTTCTTCACAATGAGACTCCAATCTCCCTTTCTAGTTTCCTTACACATCACTCACTGTAACACACTCTAAACCAGTCATGCTGAACCATTTCATGAAAACTGCTGTGAATCTGCACACTTCTGTGACTTTGCTGATGTTGTCTTTGCCTGAAATCCTCTTTCTACCCTCACCCTTTTTACTTTATTCCCGTCTAGTAAAATCTTAAATTCAAGGCCCAACCTTTAGGTCCCCCCTGTATCAATCTCGCTCTCCTTCCTGTTATAAGTATTAAGTATCTATTTGCTGGATGCTGAGAAATATAGATAAGTAAGGCAAGTGTCCAATCCTCAAGGAGCTCACAGTTTAGAAAGAGACAAAGATAAATGCAAATAAAAGAGAGGAATTTCCTGGTTATCCAGGGAAAACTGGCAACCAAAGATGAATGGTTTGAATAGAGTGCCAATAACTTCCATCAACAACAGGTAATCTGGAGGGTGGGAAAGGGAAGCTTGGAGAAAGAAAGAAGGCATGAGGGCTGAATGGTAGAAGATCAGCAGGTTCTGCAAATCAGCAGGCAAGTTAAGACTCCATGCTTCCATCGAAAGGAGCTTGGGTTCAATCCCTGGTTGGGGAACTAAGATCCCACAAGCCACATAGTGTGACAAAAAAAAGAACAACAGTAATAGAAGTGTATACAGGTGCAGAAGTTGTAAGTGCTTAGGACAGACTGATTTAGCTTGATTAATGAGATGCAATAGATATGATTAAGTGTCACAAAGAATATAGAGTATGAATTTGGTCATTTTAGATAGTTGCCTGATGATAAGAAAAGAAAGAACATTCCAGAAAGAGGGAATAGCATCTACAACAAGCAACAGTACAGCTTATTAGAAAACTAAAAGCATGAGTGAGAGAGAGACCTGTAGGAAAAAGGAATAGTGAAAGCTGAGGCTTAATGAAGGGTCAGATCCTAGAGACCCGTATGTATGCTAGAGTTACAACTATAACTTGTAGATATATTATGGACATTTAACTAAAAAATTTGTTGAGCAGATGAATGGAGAATCATTAGAAGGTTTTAAGCAGCAACAAGATAGACCTATTATCACAGGCCAAAAAAAACCAATGAGGCCCTGGACTAAAGCCATGGCAGTGAGACTAGAAAACACGGGATGGTTTCCACAGGTGGACATGGTGAGGGATTCCATGAAGGAATAGTTGAGAGAAACTCCTGATTCTGACTTGGGCCTGGGGGATGGTGGTGCCTCTTTCCAAACTAGGGGTTACAGGTAGAAGAGTCAGGGCTTTCTTACTCGTTATAAATGAGTGTCCTCTAGGAGAAGAGAAACTGTATCTTTCTCATTTCTGTGTCCTTTGCATCAGCACTGAGACCACTGTGATGGTCCTCTGGGTCCCAGGGGAGAGGAGGTAGCTGTCGATAGCATTCACTTCCAGCTGAGTTTCAAATGCATAATATCAGAGCTTCTCAGTTTTCCTACAAGGGCCTTCAGAGAAAAGAGTCTCCTACCCACCTCTCTGACTTCATCTATCTAAAAGAATCTGCTGCTATGGCTGGAAGAGGGTGTCTCATGTGAAAAAATGTCTTCAAAGCTCATGTTTTTGGCCATGCACATTTTGTATTCTTCTAATTAATCCTTATTTTAACATAATACTCTTCCCCCCATCCCCACAGAAAATCACTCTAAATAATAATTTCATACCTTATTTATTCTGGGCTTTATATATACCCTAGCACATTGCTGAATACCCCAAATTGAGAAGAACCATAAAACATAATTGACTTTTCAGCAACATGCTGTATTTCTAATTCTGTTGGGCTAATATATGTACATCCCTTTAGTTGAATCTGAGACTCTGAGAGAAGCCAGGGTCAAATGAGGCCAACAGATAAGAGAGACTTGACTATAACAGTGTGGACCTCTCTGATTTATATTCTCAGGTACTGCAGAAGTTGGGGAAAACTGTGGAGACCAAAGATGAACGGTTTGAACAAAGTGCCAGTAACTTCCACCAACAACAGGTAATCTGGAGAGTGGGAAAGGGAAGCTTAGAGGAAGAAAGAAGACGTGAGGGCTGAGTGGCAGAACAACAGCAGGTTCTGCAGATCAGCAAGCATTCCTTCTAACACATCTAGCCCCAGGAGTCAGGGCCACAGGGTGACCTACCTGCTGCTTATTCTTCCCCTGGGAACCACAGAAAATCACCTTTCCTGTTCCTCCTCACCCTGGTTCATAGGGGACTGAGAGTGTTTTTTTCTCATGGTGATCCTCCCAGGGTATAGTGATATCACCATACCCGTGGACAAAAATCAAAACAAGTGCCTTCCACTTCAGTTTCTGGCATATTCTTTTCCTCAGGCTGCCTCTCTTCTACCCTAGCATCTTCTCATCGCAGTGGCCCTATGTCTTGTTGCCTCTTTGTCCATTACATCTACCTCACCAAAGCCTTTTATTCTAAAATAATACCTCCATCTTTTACCTGTCATTCTCACCAGCAAAACTCCTGCTCTCACTGTTGCATCTGTCTTCACTGGATACTATGGGTAATTTTATATAGAAAACTTATATTAAAAAGTGGAAAAGAAGGCACTGCAACCAACTCTGAAAATTCTATAGTGCATATGTGATTAGAACAAGAAAAAATATAATTCATATATAGTAACATTAAAAAAAAGAAGAGAAAGTGGGGTGGCCTATGGATGGGGAGAGGCAGCTGGCCAGTCATCGGGCCTTGGGGAACCGTGCTTCCAGAGCTGCTGGATGTGACACCTTCTCCAGACCCAGCATGCAAGTGCCAGGTGACTGCCATGAACTACAGAGCCATGAGGATCCATAGCAATTCATATTTCCAGGGTGGAGTCCCTGTCAAAAATGAAAAAAAGAACAACCATCTTTGAACTCTCTGGAAACTGATAACAAACCAGAAAAATGGGGAAAAGTATTTTACACTGACTTACCTTCTGTCACCATATCTGAAAAGTTGCAAAAGGACAAGATCTGGAAGAGTGAGTTGAAGAATTTCTCAGTAAAGATTTCAGTTACCTAATTTCAAAGAAAAAGTACAGATTTCTCCTTTTAGTAGTTGAAAAAACTAGTAATGACTGATTTTATTCCTTCAAATATATTACCAAATGTCATGGGGAGTAAAAATTCTTCATACTGATGACATAAGATACTACATGGAACAAAAGAAAAAAAAGGTATTTACTCAAGAAATCAAGAACTTCTGTAAGAGATGTAGGGAAAAGAGTAGGAACTGGCTCACAAAAGGCAAGAACAAGTAGGCTCAAAAAGCCTTTTATAAAGGTAAACGACATGAGGCACATCTTGTAAGTGGACAACACAGAAACTTTGCACAGAGTCAGTTCAGTTCAGTCGCTCAGTCATGTCCAACTCTTTGCGACCCCATGAACTGCAGCACACCAGGCCTCCCTGTCCATCACAAACTCCCAGAGTCCACCCAAACCCATGTCCATTGTGTTGGTGATGCCATCCAACTACCTCATCCTCTGTCGTCCCCTTCTCCTCCTGCCCTCAATCTTTCCCAGCATCAGGGTCTTTTCAAATGAGTCAACTCTCCCACATCAGGTGGCCAAAGTATTGGAGTTTCGATTTCAACATCAGTCCCTCAAATGAACACCCAAGACTCATCTCCTTTAGGATAGACTGGTTAGATCTTGCAGTCCAAGGGACTCTCAAGAGTCTTCTCCAACACCACAGTTGAAAAGCATCAATTCTTCGGCACTCAGCTTTCTTTATAGTCCAACTCTCACATCCATACATGACTACTGGAAAATATAGCTTTGACTAGACAGACCTTTGTTGGCAAAGTAATGTCTCTGCTTTTTAATGTGCTATCTAGGTTGGTCATAACTTTCCTTGTACAGAGTAATCACTATCAAGTTGTTGATGAAATTGTATCTAAGTTAGTTTTTGACTATAAAAACTGCAAATGTCCCGAAAAAGTCTGAATATAAAGAAAAGCTGGAACTGCAACATATGCCTCAGAAAGACATCAGGGAAAATAATGTACAGGTGCTTGACCAGAGTTTCCTATATAAAGAAACCCAATAACCGAACAAAACTTTGGGTTTTTTTCAGAACATGTTTCTCTCTCCTTCTTCTATTGAATTGAAAGGACTTGATGAGAAAACATCTAATAAAGGTTCCATTTATGAAAATGACATACAATTTTACATATCTGCTCCTACATAAAAATGAACAAAAATGCATTCTGGCATTTCTGAGTGGAAATTAATTATACATGAAATGAAGAACTAAGGGTAGATCACTGTCTGTGTAGGATATACAAATGTATACAAGTTTCTAATTTCAATATGGAAAAAACTGCATCTCGGCCAAAACAAAAGTTAGATGCTGTGCACTTCCCAGTGTAGGGTCTGAAGGAAAAGGACCATCATTCTGTATTTGGTCAAGATTCTTATTTGTTATCAGTAAATAGTTCAGGGATGTGTGCTCAGTCGCTCAGTTGTGTCCGACTCTTTGCGACCCTATGGACATAGCCCAGCAGGCTCCTTTGTCCATGGGATTCTCCAGACAAAAATACTGTAGTGGGTTGCCATTTACTTCTCTAGGAGAACTTCTTGACCCAGGGATCAAACCTACATCTCTCAGGTCTCCTGCATTATCAGGTAGGTTCGGGTTCGATCCCTGAATCAGGAAGATCCCCTGGAGAAGGAAATGGCAACCCACTCCAGTACTACTCTTGCCTGGAAAATGTCATGGATGGAGGAGCCTGGTAGGGTACAGTCCATGGGATTGCAGAGTCGGACACAACTGAGCGACTTAACTTTCTCTCTTTCTTTTCTTTACCACTAGCACCACCTTAGTTCAGAGGAGCACCTACAATTCAGGCAAAGGCTCCAATCCCAAAGTTCTAGGAATCCAATGAATGTGATGTCAAGAATACAGAGCCTTTACCATCTGGTAAAATCCACTGGAGAATGAAAATATTTTAAGGAAGAAATTTTATAAAAAATCTGGAACCAAAAAAAAAAATCTGGAACCAAATGTGGAGTTTTATAAGAATATGAAACTTCTTACTATGCAGGAAGAAAACAGAATTTATAGTTCACAAATACAATCTCATGAATTTGCGCAAGCTGTGGGAGATAGTGGAGGACAGAGGAGCCTGACTTGCTGCAGTCCATGGGGTCGCAATGAATCAGACACGATTTAGTGACTGAACAACAACGGTACAATCTCTACTGAACTTATTTCAGACTAGTGAGAAGTCAGAATTTTTAGGTTACACAGGTTACACTGAAAACAATGGTATATGTGATGTTTTAGATATTTGGGAAGAGGGAAATTCAAATAATCTGTTGTCACTGTTTTTCTCTTCTCTTTCAACCTCTATATTTAGTGGCTTTTATACTTAAAAAACTAAATTGCTTTCAGAAGTGATAAAAACCAAATTCTTGAAAATTTTTATAAATTTATATAAAAATTCTTAAGGTTTTCTTTCTCCCCCCAAGTTTGTTTACAGAACCAAATGTAAATAGTAACAATATTTTGTTAGCATTTTGCTGCAGAATTGAATACCTATTATAGAAAAATTATAGAATAAATTTGTGGTTCATCTTATTAAAAAGGAGAGAGAGAGAGAAGTGTGTACAGAGATTTAATCTATGGGATATTGACTTTCTATCTTTGTGTACCAGGCCTCACATTTATCTCATTTAATTCTGACATCGGTCCTGGAGCGTGTGATCTTCTCTTTATAATAGAAGGGAATTATTAACTTAAATGAATATCCAATTGCAATGCAGTTCTGACACTAAATACCCAGAGTTAGTCCAAACATCACAGGTTGAGGGCATACGTAGTTCCCCACCAAACAACCTTATTTCAGATACCAGCCACAAAGCTCCAGAATTCCCAGGGCGCTTGCATTTTTGACCAACTGGTTACAAATTGGGGGGTTCTTACTGGCCACTCTCTGTTCGTTTCCAAGGCAAACCATTCAGTATTACAGTAATCCAAGTCTATGCCCCAACCAGTAATGCTGAAGAAACTGAAGCTGAACGGTTCTATGAAGAACTACAAGACCTTCTGAACTAACACTGAAAAAAAGATATCCTTTTCATTATAGGGGACTGGAGTGCGAAAGTAGAAAGTCAAGAGATACCTGGAGTAACAGGCAAGTTTGGCCTTGGTGTACAAAATGAAGCAGGTCAAAGGATAACAAAGTTTTGCCAACAGAATGCACTGGTCACAGCAAACACCCTCTTCCAACATAACAAAGAAGACTCTACACATGGACATCACCATATGGTCAATACCAAAATCAGATTTATTATTATTCTTTGCAGCCAAGGATGGAGAAGCTCTATACAGTCAGCAAAAACAAGACGGAGCTAACTGTGGCTCAGATGATAAACTCATTATTGCCAAATTCAGACTTAAATTGAAGAAAGTAGGGAAAACCACCAGACCATTCAGGTATGACCTAAGTCAAATCCTTTACTATTATGCAGTGGAACTGACAAATAGATTCAAGGGATTAGATCTGATAGACAGAGTGCCTGAAGAATTATGGATGGAGGTTCGTGACATTGTACAGGAGTCGGTGATCAAGACCATCCCCAAGAAAAAGAAATGCAAAAAGGCAAAATGGTTTTCTGAGGAAGCCTTAAAAATAGCTGAGAAAAGGAAAGATATACCTATTTGAATGCAGAGTTCTAAAGAGTAGCAAGGAGAGATAAGAAAGCCTTCCTCTGTGATCAATGCAAAGAAATAGAGGAAAGCAATAGAATGGGAAAGACTAGAGATCTCGTCAAGAAAATTAGATACCAAGGGAACATTTCATGCAAAGATGGGTACAATAAAGGACAGAAATGGTATGGACCTAACAGAAGCAGAAGATATTAAGAAGAGGTGGTAAGAATACACAGAAGAACTGTACAAAAAAGATATTCATGACCCAGATAACCATGATGGTGTGATCACTCACCTAGAACCAGACATCCTGGAATGTGAAGTCAAGTGGGCCTTATGA